TTTTTTCCTCTTTTATAAAGAAATATTTTTAAATTTCAGCACGAGAATATTATATTAATAGATATCTACAGATATTTTGTGTATCATCATTCATATTCAAAAAGTTCGTTATCAGGCCTAACAAGTTCTCTATTTCAACGATGATTAGATACGTGTATTAAAATACTCTTTTACCAAGTAGTATGAAAATCGAAAAATCTATAAAAATGAACTTCTCGTGATTTTCCTACGTTTTTGGGAATTTGGAAATTTAATACTGCAAAGTTCGAAGGAATAGATATAGAACAGAACGAAATATCTAAGACAAAAGACTTATTACGACATTATAGTTTGCGCAATACTCAGCAAGTATAAAACGTTGTATAACAAATATATAGCAACTGTTATTTCGAAAACAAATCAAATTGAAAGCATCTCCATGTTATTTGAAATTTGAATAGAAATCAAATAAAATAATCAGTTTACATTATTAATGTAATATAACAAACGATGACGTTGTTGCCATGTGATTTTCAGTGGCTGATAGCCGTCGAAAACTGTGTTATAAAAAATTCGAAAATCTTCGCTTGTACTCATTTATTCAACATTTTCCACGTGTGATTAAAAATCACATTTTATAAATTCTTGATAATTCCTGGTGGATTCTTGCATTCTCAATGATTCTTGCATTGCTCGACGAAATAACTAAAACGTTTCAAAGAGAGCAATTTGATTTCCAAAGATGAGAATAAAAGTTTCAATCTTCCCCTCTAGCTAAACATCAATCGCGTCGATTAAATAAAACACAGATCTCCCAAGTAAAGGACTTTCACCTCGTTCAAGCTAATCTGTACGTGCCTTTACGCAAACTATAACAACGTCATCCGTGACAATTGAGAAACGAAGAACCAGCGATTAATTGCACACCCACCTACGCATAAAGCGAAGATGATAACGTGCATAAATGGGAGCAGGCAGACACACCCGCGCACAAACATGATACACACACACCCACACACACACGTATACACGGAAATCGGAAACGCGTGCATGCAGAGTGTGCAGAAACGTTAGCAGATGGATATACATGGGAACACGTTGAAAACGTCTAGTGGCGTTGCAGTAGCGGTCGCGTCAGTCTACCTGTCTATAGGCATGTAGGCGGTAATGGTGTTTCTGAATTAGCTGCCAGCTAGTTTGGCCGCCCGCAAGCAAACAGATCTTGGTTACCCGATGTGTAACGTTCCACGTTCGCCCAAACCAACCTATATCTCTATGATCTGGTCTGATCGCACCGTAGCCGCGCATGGACTCGTGCAAACGATGACACGAAAGCACAGCTTTCCGTGTACACGTCGTACATATATAAATACGCTTGTCGCCGATATACGAGATGCGTGC